GGCCATGAATGTTAAAATTGAATACTTCCATTCTCTACTGTCCAGTAACTGTCGTGGGGAGGGGCAGTCAGACCACTGAATCCGCAGTGAAAATGTAAAAGATTTTATTGAGCGAAAAGTGCTGATGCACCAGGACCGCACCTGGGTTGGGATCCCAGGAAAGGGCCGCAAGGGCCAAACCATATGGGCTTTTAAGCATTTTTGGGCTAGGGCGGGGAAAGGGGGAGGCTGGGTGTTGGTTTTAGCCAATGATTGTTACAAGAAATACACACTTTAAGTTAAATTTCCCGCCAAGGTTTTGCTTGTGGGAAGCAGGGGAATAGAACAAAGGGTGGTGATGGTCCACTGGATTAGGGCTCCCATTGCTCAGAAAACAGCAGAATCAGAGTTACAGGGTTATGGAGTTACAGAGTTACAATTACACTTACTAGCTAAAGTAATGAGTTACCAGGGAAGTCTTATCCACAGCACACTTACATTTATATCTTAAAATCATTCATTATCCATTTTACACAATCCAAGTCAAATATCATATTCCATCTTTACATCCTCCACCATATCATAACTTCACTCCTAGCTTCATATTTCAGAGAACATTAAAATAATCATGGAGTCATTGATTATAAAAGAAAATATTTGGAAGATCAATACACATTTAGGGAAGATGATTACATGAATTATGGAATAGCCACATACTGGAACATAACCTGGCAGTAGAAATGATTGAACTACAGCTCTAGCTAACAGCATGGAAGGATCTAGAAATGCAGTAGCAAGTAAGTTGGGCGTCATGTAATCCCAGCACTTGGGAGACTAAAGCAGGAGGACCAGTTGTTGGGCAAGACCCTTTCTCAAATACATCAATAAATGAAGAACTAAGTAATAAACAACAGCAAGTAAAAAGATAAGTACTGAAAGACAATAAACAGTAAGTTATTTTTATAAAGCTCAAAAACCAAGCCATACAAGATGCTGGTGGTTCATGCCTGTAATTATGGAATTGTAAGAATTTGCCAACTTGCCTTTAAAGCCTTGGCTAGCTTTAAACTTTGATCCTTAGATCTCAGCTATGATTACAAGTGTGAGCCATGGGCATCTGGCCTGAAAATTTTGTGACTAGAGAGGTATAACTATTAGCCTAATCATTTCAGCATCACTGGTCAACCAATGGATGCTAAGAGTCGTGAACCATTAATCTGAAGAAATGAGTTTGAGTTACTTTTTTGTATTATATAATATTCATTTTACATCTTTTGTTACTCACCTTCTTGTTGTTGTTGTTTTTTTTTCTTTGCAGGTCCTGGGGCTTGAAGTCAGGGCTGGGGCACTGTCCCTGAGCTTCTTTTGCTCAAGGTTATCACTCTACCACTTGAGCCACAGCACCACTTCTTGCTTTTTCTGAGTACTTCAGTGGAGGTAAGAGTCTCATAGACTTTCCTACTCCGGGTGGCTTCAAACTGCAATCCTCAGGTCTCAGCCTCCTGAGATGCTAGGATCACAAGCATGAGCCACGGGTGCCAGGCTTTCAGTTTCTTTTTTATATGAGAAAAGAGCTCCTCTGTCTTCCTCAGAGGATTGTTATGAAAATGGAATGAAAATAGAATTGTTACACCTGAAAAACGTTTGCTACTAGAGCAAAGTCATTTTTTACCTATTGTTCTAAAACTTACAGTATACTACAAAGTCATCTAGGTATTTAAGAAAACTGCCAAGTAAATGACATGATTTAATAGAAATAGAAAAGTACCCACAGGGTGGGTGTGAAAAAGGATTTTATTGATTTTTCACACAGATGAACTACTTAATGTGAATGTCAAAGCATGTCTCTAGACTCTGCAGGATATCTAGGTTTATTAATTAATTCATCAAGTCAAGCCTTGCTAATTAACCTCTAGAGAGGCTGGTATGGTAATGTCATTTTCACTTAGGTATGGGAAAAACAGAAATCACATCCTTTATGACTACAGGAGTGCTGGAGAGGTGATAGGAATCTGAGTGAGTCTCTGTTATGCTAGGGCCTACTCTGACTTGTAGTTTGTTCTGGAATTAGCAAAAAATAAAAACAAAAACAAAAACTAGCTCGTTACAAATTTATTTTCTTTTGTTGTTTGTAGGGCTTGAACTCAGGGACTGGGCACTGTCCCTAAGCTTTTATGCTCAAGACTAGTGCTCTATCACTTTGAGCCACAGCTCTACTTACCGTTTTTTAGGTGGTAAATTGGAGATAAGAGTATCATGGACTTTCCTGCCCATACAGTTTTCCAACCTTGATTCTGACTTCAGCTTCCTCAGGGGCTAGGATTACAGGCATGAGCCACCAATGTCTGCTTACATTTCTTTTGTTGCAAACAGTTTCATGAGGAATAATGCACCCAGAGTGATTTACTAATTTACAATAAGTAATGTTAACTCATCTTCATGATATATTACCTTTTTATCATGGATGCCTGCCAGTCAGTCCTAAGGCTCAAACGCCTGGGCACTGTTCCTGAACATTCTTCCTTACCCTCCTTCCCCCCCCCCCCCAAAAAAAAAAAAGCTAGCACTCTACCTACCACTTGAGCAACAGCTCTACTTCTGGCTTTTTCTTTGGGGAGGGGGAGTTAACTAGAGATAAGTCTTACAGACCTTCCTTTCTGTGCTGGCTTTGAGCCATTATCTGCAGATCTTGGACTCCTGAGTAGCTAGAAGTACAGGCATGAGCCATGGTGACTGGCTCATTACCTTTATTTTATAGTTCCTAAACGTTTTTGAATTTATCTGATTTTGGAACCTCTTGACTATTGAACAATTGACTATTTAACTTAGTGTAGATTAATTTTTTATGCACACTTACATTTTGGGGATCATAGTTTGTCATATAAATGCTCAAATTTTCTTCCTTTGTTTTCTTCTAGTGATGATGGAAACATTGCCTTTTGTAGAAATGTTGGCAAAGTCTTAGAAACTGAAAAAAGTCCTAGGAAAACGGAGTCTCGAGGGTATTAAAGAAAGAGCAGCAAACAATCTCAACAGACCAGAGCATTATTGGAGCATTGAAGAGGGCCGCCATGGTGACCAGAGGAAAGTTTAGAGACAGGAGGCGCGACGTGGTAGCAGGGTGGGGGGGATTCAGCAGGGTCATGGCTAGGGTCACGGGGAGATGGAGGGTTCAGAGTTTATGGTGCAGGTCTGTCAGGTGCGGGAACCTACTGCTTTAAGTCCCCAGCCGCATCTGCTTCTAGGAATTCAGGCACCTGTCACCTGGCGGCGAGGAAGAGGAATTTTACATTTCGATGAAGACTCTGGGTTGGAGAATTTTGGGGAGATCCCCGGCAGGGAGGGTGGTCAGCGGACCAAGCCACGGGGGCAATGCTGAGAGCCGAGCAGACGACTCTAACAACCCCTGGGCCATGGTGGTGCATCTTCCTCTTGCTCTTCTTTATTTGTAAAGCAGGGAGGCGGGGTCAAGACGTCCCGGGCAGGGCTTCAGGCGCCGGGCAGCACAAGTGTCCCCGGCCCGGCCCGGCGCGATCGCCTCCCTCCCGCGCCCGCGGCCCTCCCCGCACCGATCCCGCGTTCCCGGCCCGTGGGCGCGCGGTTCGTTCTCGGCTCTCCCGCCCCCTTCGTCTTCCCCTGCGGGGACCGGGGAGGCCGTGCCAGCCAGGGACCCCCAGACCCGAGGGCGGTCAGCCGGGCAGGGCTAGGGCCAGGCCGCCCGGTCCCCGCGAACGGCCGGGACCCCTGGGGACGCATCAGGGCGCACTCGTCTCCAGGCTCCCCCTTCTATTGTATGGAAGTTTCCAGGAGCCTCCTCACCCCCACCCCCAGTCCATAAGTGCGTTCTTGGCCCTTGCGGGGTCCCGAAGGCCGCGGGCGGCAGGCAGGCGCAGGTGCGCTAAGTGCGGCCTCGGAGCCCGAGGAAGTGCGTCCCTCTTCGCTCGCCCTCCGCTCGCCCGGCGGACCGCACCATCGCGCGGCCTCGGAGGGGGTGACGCGCTCGCGCACCCTCTGCCCCGCCAACGGCGGCTGACACGCCCCGAAGCCCAACGCTCGGCCTTCCACGTGCCGTCACGGGAGCCCGCTCGAAAGACGAGGGAAACCCTAAGCGAGAGCCCAGCGAAGGACGCGCGCCCTGCTCTCCCCGCCTCCGCCCGCCGAAGTTGGGCCGGTCCGCCCTGGCCACCCGCGCGCGCCCGCACCTCCTCACGTCTTGGGTTCTGGGCTAGGGAACGCGTAGGGGCGTGGCCCCGAGTGGAGGCGGGGCCCAGAGGGGAGGAGCCTCGTCTGGGGGCGGGGCCGAGAGGGCGGGGCCGAGCGGGCGGAGCCGGGAGTCCGGGTGGGAGCGCGCGAGCGAGGCCGAGCGGAGCCGAGCGGAGCGCGGGGTACGGG